ATGTCTTCTTTGGAGAAATGTCTGTTTAGTTCTTCGGCCCACTTTTTGATTGGGTCTTTTATTTTTCTGGAATTGAGCTGCAGGAGTTGCTTGTATATTTTTGAGATTAATCCTTTGTCTGTTGCTTCATTTGCTATTATTTTCTCCCATTCTGAAGGCTGTCTTTTCACCTTGCTTATAGTTTCCTTTGTTTTGCAGAAGCTTTTAATTTTAATTAGGTCCCATTTGTTTATTTTTGCTTTTATTTCCAATATTCTGGAAGGTGGGTCATAGAGGAGCCTGCTGTGACTTATGTTGGAGAGTGTTTTGCCTATGTTTTCCTCTAGGAGTTTTATAGTTTCTGGTCTTACATTTAGATCTTTAATCCATTTTGAGTTTATTTTTGTGTATGGTGTTAGAAAGTGTTCTGGTTTCATTCTTTTTTTTTTTTTAATTTTTATTTATTTTTTTTTTTTTCATTTATTTTTATTAGTTGGAGGCTAATTACTTTACATCATTGTAGTGGTTTTTGTCATACATTGAAATGAATTAGCCATGGATTTACATGTATTCCCCATCCCGGTCCCCCCTCCCACCTCCCTCTCCACCCAATCCCTCTGGGTCTTCCCAGTGCACCAGGCCCGAGCACTTGTCTCATGCACCCAACCTGGGCTGGTGATCTGTTTCACCCTAGATAATATACGTGTTTCAATGCTGTTCTCTTGAAACATCCCACCCTCGCCTTCTCCCAGAGTCCACAAGTCTGTTCTATACATCGGAGTCTCTTTTTCTGTTTTGCATATAGGGTTATCGTTACCATCTTTCTAAATTCCATATATATGTGTTAGTATACTGTAATGGTCTTTATCTTTCTGGCTTACTTCGCTCTGTATAATGGGCTCCAGTTTCATCCATCTCATTAGAACTGATTCAAATGAATTCTTTTTAATGGCTGAGTAATATTCCATGGTGTATATGTACCACAGCTTCCTTATCCATTTGTCTGCTGTTGGGCATCTAGGTTGCTTCCATGTCCTGGCTATTATAAACAGTGCTGCAATGAACACTGGGGTACACGTGTCTCTTTCAGATCTGGTTTCCTCGGTGTGTATGCCCAGAAGTGGGATTGCTGGGTCATATGGCAGTTCTATTTCCAGCTTTTTAAGAAATCTTCACACTGTTTTCCATAGTGGCTGTACTAATTTGCATTCCCACCAACAGTGTAAGAGGGTTCCCTTTTCTCCACACCCTCTCCAGCATTTATTGCTTGTAGACTTTTGGATAGCAGCCATCCTGACTGGTGTGTAATGGTACCTCATTGTGGTTTTGATTTGCATTTCTCTGATAATGAGTGATGTTGAGCATCTTTTCATGTGTTTGTTAGCCATCTGTATGTCTTCCTTGGAGAAATGTCTGTTCAGTTCTTTGGCCCATTTTTTGATTGGGTCATTTATTTTTCTGGAGTTGAGCTGGAGGAGTTGCTTGTATATTTTTGAGATTAATCCTTTGTCTGTTGCTTCGTTTGCTATTATTTTCTCCCAATCTGAGGGCTGTCTTTTCACCTTGCTTATAGTTTCCTTTGTTGTGCAAAAGCTTTTAAGTTTCATTAGGTCCCATTTGTTTATTTTTGCTTTTATTTCTAAAATTCTGGGATGTGGGTCATAGAGGATCCTGCTGTGATTTATGTCGGAGAGGGTTTTGCCTATGTTCTCCTCTAGGAGTTTTATAGTTTCTGGTCTTACATTTAGATCTTTAATCCATTTTGAGTTTATTTTTGTGTATGGTGTTAGAAAGTGTTCTGGTTTCATTCTTTTACAAGTGGTTGACCAGTTTTCCCAGTACCCCTTGTTAAAGAGATTGTCTTTTCTCCATTGTATATTCTTGCCTCCTTTGTCAAAGATAAGGTGTCCATAGGTGTGTGGGTTTCTCTCTGGGATTTCTATTTTGTTCCATTGATCTATATGTCTGTCTTTGTGCCAGTACCATACGGTCTTGATGACTGTGGCTTTGTAGTAGAGCCTGAAGTCAGGCAGGTTGATTCCTCCAGTTCCATTCTTCTTTCTCAAGATTGCTTTGGCTATTCGAGGTTTTTTGTATTTCCATACAAATTGTGAAATTATTTGTTCTAGTTCTCTGAAAAATACTGTTGGTAGCTTGATAGGGATTGCATTGATTCTATAGATTGCTTTGGGGAGTATATTCATTTTCACTTTATTGATTCTTCTGATCCATGAACACAGTATATTTCTCCATCTGTTTGTGTCCTCTTTGATTTCTTTCACTAGTGTTTTATAGTTTTCTATACATAGGTCTTTTGTTTCTTTAGGTAGATATACTCCTAAGTATTTTATTCTTTTCATTGCAATGGTGAATGGAATTGTTTCCTTAATTTCTCTGTTTTCTCATTGTTAGTGTATAGGAATGCAAGGGATTTCTGTGTGTTAATTTTATATCCTGCAACTTTACTATATCCATTGATTAGTAATTTTCTGGTGGAGTCTTTAGGGTTTTCTATGTAGAGGATCATGTCACCTGCAAACAGTGAGAGTTTTACTTCTTCTTTTGCAATCTAGATTCCTTTTCTTTTTCTGCTCTGATTGCTGTGGCCAACACTTCCAAAACTATGTCGAACAGTAGTGGTGAGAGTGGGCACCCCTGTCTTGTTCCTGACTTTAGGGGAAATGCTTTCAATTTTTCACCACTGAGGATGTTTGCTGAGGGTTTGTCATATATAGCTTTTATTATGTTGTGGTATATTCCTTCTATTCCTGCTTTCTGGAGGGTTTTTATCATAAATGGATGTTGAATTTTGTCAAAGGCTTTCTCTGCATCTATTGAGATAATCATATGGTTTTTATTTTTCAATTTGTTAATGTGGTGTATTACATTGATTGATTTGCAGATACACAATAAAAATTTTCTGCAGGGCACTTAGTTATGTGAATTAAGGGTCTTTAAAAAATGTGCGCAGAACTTTGACGTGGGAGTTTCTGTTTAGAAATTTACCTTAAGGAGATAATCAGACAGGGCAGAAAGCTATATGTTTAAGAATGTTCATCTCAGCATTATTTTAAAATATTTTTTACTCATGTATCCTATAAGAAAAAAAGAAATGTTACTTTAACAAAATGAAAAAGGAATCTAAGATGAAGACATGAAATACAAAGCAAAACAGTGGCAGGTGAAGGGTCAAAACAGCTCAAAAGATCAATTTCCTCTATTTTGGATGTATGCCAGTAGAAAAGGTAGCGAATCGTCTGATTCTTGGTTCCCTGATTCCTAAATGGGAAAGGAGAGTCCTCTCTAGGCCACCTGATCCAAATACAATTTATACCCTTTCCTCCAGATGTGGTTCCTTAGTAAAACATCCTGATGACTCACCAAAGCTTACTCCTGTTTCCTGAGATTGGGCCTTCTTCAGGCTCCCTTAACAAGAGCTGCTGTTTCTGCTGGTGTGTTTAACTTTTAAAGTAAATAACAATTTCAAAATTAAAGATAAGTTACAATAGTACAAAGAACTCCAATACATCCTTTACCAAGACTTACCAACCTGTGACATTTTGCCCTATTTGTTTTATGTCTTTTTATACATACACACACGTGGATTACTTTTTAAACCAGTTAAAATGCAGACATGACACACCTTTACTTCTAAACACTTCAGTATGTATTTTCTAAGAGCAAGGATATTCTCTTATATAACAACAATAATCACAATCAGAAAATTAACATTTATACAATATTATCTAATATTCAATCCATATTTACATTTAGTTAACAGTCCCCCAAATGTCCTTCATAGCAAGAATTCTTTTTCTGAACCAGGATCCAACTCAGGATAGCACATTGCTTTTAGTTGTCACGTCTCTTTGGTCACTTTTAACTTGAAACAGTTCCTCTTCCTTTGTTTTTCAAGACGTTGACTTTTCTGAACAGTACAGGCCAGTTGTTCTGTAAAATATTCTTCAACCTAGAGTTCCCTGTTGTCTCTTCATGATTAGGTCAGCCCTTTTTGCACTTGCAAAATAATGGCAACAGCAAAACCTGTAAACAACTTAACTGTCTGGTGATAGAGAAATGGTTAAATAAACTGTGATACAACCACAAAATGTACTATCATGCAACCAACAAAAATGATAGAGTGTGTTTACTGAGCTGTGAAGAAATTTTCAATTTTTAATTGAAAAAAGCAGAATACAACTCAATAGTTACCACATGAGCCCATTTTATATAATTACATATATGCATAGAAACCCTGAAGATTTTACCGAAAAATATAATGGTGACCTATGGTCAACAGGAATATGATGGATTAAATTATTTTTTTTCTTTCTTTGGTGCCATGACTGAGATGATGGATTAAATTTTTAAAAATTTATCTGTATTTTCTATGACTATACTACCAAAAGCAATCTATAGACTCAATGTGATCCCTATCAAATTATCAATGACATTTTTCACAGAACTAGAACAAAAAATTTCACAATTCATATGGAAACACAAAAGACTCCAAATAGCCAAAGCAGCCTTGAGAAATCAGAATGGAGCTGAAGAACTCAACCTTCTTGACTTCAGACTATACTACAAAGCTACAGTCATCAAGACAATATGGTACTGGCACAAAACAGAAATACAGACCAATGAAACAAGACAGAGAACCCAGAGATAAACCCATGCACCTGTGGGTACCTTATTTTTGACAAAAGAGGCACGAATATACAATGGGGCAAAGATAGCCTCTTCAATAAGTGGTGCTGGGAAAACTGGACAGCTACATGCAAAAGGATGAAATTAGAACACTACCTAATGCCATAGACAAAGATAAACTTAAAATGGATTGAAGACCTAAAAGTAAGACCAGAAACTATAAATCTCTTAGAGGAAAACATAGGCAAAACACTCAATGACATAAATCAAAGCAAGATCTTCTATGACCCACCTCCTAGAGTAATGGAAATAAAAACAAAAATAAACAAGTGGGACCTAATTAAACTTAAAAAGCTTTTGCACAGCAAAGGAAACTACAAATAAGGTGAAAAGACAACCCTCAGAATGGGAGAAAATACTGGTAAAGCAAACAACTGACAAATAATTTCCAAAATATACAAGCAGCTCATACAACTCAATACCAAAAAAGCGAACAACCCAATTAAAAAGTGGGAAAGGGACCTGAAGAGACATTTCTCCAAAATAGACATACAGATGGCTAACAGGCACATGAAAAGATGCTCAGCATCACTCATTATTAGAGAAATGCAAATCACAACTACAATGAGATATGCCTCACACTGGTCAGAATGGCCATCATCAAAAAGTCTACAAACAATAAATGCTGGAGAGGGTGTGGAGAAAAGGGAACACTCTTGCATTGCTGGTAAACTGATGGATGTAAACTGGTAAACTGGAATGTAAACTGATATAGCCACTATGGAAGACGGTATGGAGATTCCTTAAAAAGCTAGGAATAAAACCACCATATTACCCAGCAATCCCACTCCTAGGCATATACCCTGAAGTAACCAAAATTGAAAAAGACACATGTACCCCAATGTTTGCTGCAGCACTATTTACAATACCTAGAACAAGGAAGCAACCTAGATGTCCACTGACAGAAGAATGGAAAAAGAAGTTGTGGTACATATCCACAATGGAATATTACTCAGCCATAAAAAGGAACACATTTGAATCAGTTCTAATGAGGTGGCTGAACCTACAGCCTAATATACAGAGTGAAGTAAGTCAGAAAGAGAAATACAAATATCATATACTGACACATATATATGGAATCTAAAAAAATGGCACTGATTAATGTATTTTCAGGGCAGCAGTGGAGAAACAGACATAGAGTACAGACCTAAGGACATGGGGGTAGGAGAGGAGGGAGAAGGGGAGATGTATGGAGAAAATAATATGGAAATTTATAATACCATATGTAAAATAGATAGCCAATGGGAATTTTCTGTATGACTCAGGGAACTCAAAAAGGGGCTCTGTGACAGGCTGAAGGGCGGGATGGGGAGGGAGGTGACATGGGTGTACCTATGGCTAATTCTTGTTGATGTATGACAGAAAACCACAGAATTCTGTAAAGCAATTATACTTCAATTTAAAATTTTTTTAAAAACTTAAAAAATTATCTGCATTTTCTAATTTTGTCATATGAGCATCAGGTCATCTGTGAATAGTGAAAATATCTTTTAAAAACTTTAAAAAGTAACAGGATAGCTTCACATTTATGTCTGAAGGATCACCATGTGGAAAAGGAAATACTTATTACTTTTCTGTACCATGAACCAGCTAATTTCACTTAAAATCACTTCATCTTATTTGCTCTTTATGACAACCCAGTGGTTTAAGGGATATATATTACATATAACATGGATACTATTTTGACAGAGGTGTAGGGGCTGAGACTGAGAGGAGTAAGGTACCTTGCTCAGAGTTTACCACTTACTGGACACAAAGCTAGGACTCAAACCCAGGACTTTCAGACCATAGAGCTCCTAATTTATCCACCTCACTCTGCTCTTGTGTGGCTCTTTTTCAGGTGTCTGCTGCCTGACTCTATCTGCATAATGGGCTTAGAATTTTGATAGTTTCCCAAATTTTGGTGTTAGCATCATACCTCTGATGATTTCCATAGGTTTCATAAGTAGGCACATACCTTAACTTTTATTTTTTTCTACTAAGCAAGATTTATATATGTGTATCCATGTACATTGGAGGAGGAAATGGCAACCCACTCTAGTATAGTCTTGCCTGGAAAAATCCCATGGACAGAGGAGCCTGGTGGGCTTCAGCCCATGGGGTCACAAAGAGTCGGACACAACTGAGTGACTGGGCATCTATGTACATTAAATGATTTTGCTTTCTGATGTGTCTCAAGCTTTGAGTTATCTTTATTATGTGGCCTTTTCCCAAGCAAGGTGGCTAATCAACTTCATTACCTCATGACACCGCTGGCCTCAACATCTTCCTTCTCTCAACTTTCCCTTCCACCATTTTACCTCTCAGGTACCTACAGTTCCCTCCACCCTGTATTTGTAGATCCTCTGCCAAGGAAAGGAAACCAGATGGTGATTTTGCACAGGCACCTATTAAATCTCTGCTATTGGGGAGGGGCTAGGTAGACAGTTCACGCACAGTCCCAACCAACAGAAGGACTTTTCAGTATTGGTCTTGTCATCTAGTGGGTTACTCTTCTCTTTGGGTCATCTACAAAAGCACATTGGCAGAGAACCGTGTGATGGTGTGTGGACTATCATGGACACTAAATAGAGTCAAGGAAGTCAAGTAAAACAGGAACTCAAAAGCACAAATTGGCTTTAGCAATAGTCACTGGTGAACTGAGCCCAAGTGGTTTCAGTGTAGTTGAGAGAAATGGAGAGATGTAGACAGAAGCGAGCACAGTGAGCTAAAGAGTGTATAATGAAAATATTGAAGTGGAAATATCAAGTGAAGACTTGAATTTCAAGAAAATTATATGAAAAGAGAAGGGAAAGTAAAACTAGAAGGGAGCACAGTAACAAGGGACAGTGTACTGGGGATGGAGATCTTCAGTCTGTGTTCTCTCCTCTAATTCTCATAGCTCTATGCATGGGAGTACCAGTTTCAACTGCATTTAAAAGATGAGAGATAATGGAAGTGGAGAGTTAGCAACCTCATCAAGGCCACCAAAATCCGGAGTCCATCTGTAAGTACAAAGGACTGCAGACTGATGTGGAGAATCTGAGACTAAACATCAGTATTTATGGGGCATCAGTCTGCATTGTGATTTCCTCTAGCAGGTCATCTTCCACCAAAGAGTACGGTAAACTCTAGGCAGAGGAGAAGCAAACAGTGGAAGAGAATTACGAGAAGTGGGAAGCTGAGGCCAGCGGTGTCAAGGGGTAATGGAGGTCATAACCATCTTATCCAAACTGGGTAGTTAAGGAAGCAAGACCAAAGGAAATGAAGGAACTAAGAGTCTGGTGAAAATGGGCACAAAGTAGAAGTTAGGAATCTTGGCAGAAAGTTCAAAAGAAAAACATACAAACAAAACCTAGTAGAATCCAAACTAGTTTATCAGTGGTAAAAATAGATCCAAAAGACAGAATGAGATTCTAAAGGAGTGTATGTGGAAATCAAAGCAGATCAATTTTATCACTATGACTGATGGTATCATAAACAGGCAGATAAAATTCAGGTCAGGAAAATCTGATGTGACACTCATGCTTGAGTAGCCAGCACATTGGGTAAAAACGTCCAGAATAGCATAGTGTCCCACTTGAGACTCAGCTTCAGTGAGTGGAGCAGACTGTGGATAAGGACTGGAACTAATCAGCAGACCACACAGGTTGACAGTTTTATCAGTTGATTGTGGTGACAGTACAAGAGGGCAAAGACAGATCAGGGTAGGGGGAAGAGTCAGGAAAGGAGTAGTCTTGAATGGGTGGTACAGATCATGGAAATTAAGGTAAGAGAGTTTCCAGGAGGGCATCAAAGGAAAAAAGATAGGAACATTTTAAAGTTTTATGTCAACCACCTTTCTAGGAAATGGCCTACAAATAGTTGGCTGCATTTCCAAGTTTCATGAAATGGAGTGACTCTAGTTATTAAATGCAGTGAAGGCAGCCTAAATCCTTTCCTACCTTGCTTCTTTCCCAGGGAAAAAGAAAACCTGTCAAGTCTTTTTCCTAAGCAATGTATGTTTTCTTTAACCCCTTTCCCTGCCCCCCTCCCCCCATCTCCATCCCCAGCATACTGGATACCTGCCCTAGGCTTCTTGGACACATGAGATGAGCTGAATCACTTAAGAACCATTCTTCCAAGGGAGGTCTGAGAAGACTATTGTATTTGAGGATAATGCCAAAATTTCAGCTCTCTGATCTGGAAACTTTCAGACACTGCTTATCTTTTATGCTTGCTCTCTAACAGAGAACATAAGACCAGGGTCCAAAGAATTACTGCTTCCTAGTAATACTAAATCAATACTAAATATAGAACATAAGCCTATTGGGCTTAAGGATCAGGAACATTTGAAAATAAGCCTTTCTGTTAAACTTCTCTGGCTAAACTCTGAAATGAAAATACCAGTCTTCATTATCACTGAAGTTTCAAGTTATAAAAATGAACTCTCTAGTGTAGTTATCCCGTTTGTGGCTCCTCCTTAAAGACTTAATTATTTCATAAGCATATGAAAAAAAGGGAAGGAAACATGACCAAAGGTCAAGTTATTGGTAAAATTTTTTAAAAATTGTTTGTAAAAAAAAAAAAAGACGGAAAAAAAGAAAAAAGAAAAGCTATTTGTAATATTATAGATCTGACTTAAATCTGTTTAAGTAAAATATTTGTTTGGCTAAAGCCATAAATACCCAATTAGCACAAAATGTTAAACTAATGGCATCAAGTCATGGTTCCAAATCAGGAAAGGAGTACGTCAACGCTGTATATTGTCACCCTGCTTATTTAACTTATATGCAGAGTACATCATGAGAAATGCTGGGCTGGATGAAGCACAAGCTGGAATCAAGATTTCTGGGAAAAATATCAATAACCTCAGATATGCAGAGGACACCACCCTTATGGCAGAAAGCAAAGAAGAACTAAAGAGCCTTTTGATGAAAGTGAAAGAGAAGAGTGAAAAAATTGGCTTAAAACTCAACATTCAGAATACTAAGGCCATGGCATCTGGTCCCATAACTTCATGGCAAATATATGGGGAAGCAATGGAAATAGTGAGAGACTTTATTTTAGGGGGCTCCAAAATCACTGCAGATGGTGATTGCAGCCATGAAATTAAAAGACGTTTGCTCCTTAGAAGAAAAACTATGACCAACCTAGAGAGCATATTAAAAAGCAGAGACATTACTTTGCCAACAAAGGTCAGTCTAGTTAAAGCTATGGTTTTTCCAGTAGTTATGTATGGATGTGAGAGTTGGGCTATAAAGAAAGCTGAGTGCTGAAGAATTGATGCTTTTGAAGTGTGGTGTTGGAGAAGACTCTTGAACTTGGACAGCAAGGAGGTCCAACCAGTCCATCCTAAAGGAAATCAGTCCTGAATATTCATTGGGAGGAGTGATGCTGAAGCTGAAACTCCAATACTTTGGCCACCTGATACGAAGAACTGACTCATTTGAAAAGACCCTGATGCTGGGAAAGATTGAAGGCGGGAGAAGAAGGGGACAACAGAGGATGAGATGGTTGGATAGCATCACTGACTCAATGGACATGAGTTTGAGTAAACCCCGGGAGTTGGTGGACAGGAAGGCCTGGTGTGCTGTAGTCCATGGGGTCGCAAAGAGTTGGACACGACTGAGTGACTGAACTGAACTGACAGAATGTCATCAATTCATTCTTGACTACATTCAATTTATTCTTTAGAAACTTT